TAGTAACATGCTTATTCTTTAATAAAATAAAGATTATAAAACTCAATTGGTTTTCTGAACAGTACACTTGTCATAGGGTCATCTGAGAGTGCTGCCTCGGCCTAGCTTACTTAGAGTCCTGTCAGTGGAGCAAGTTAAGTCTAAGGACTACAAAGCCCACTTGACCTTTCCATAATAATATCTGAGAGTACAAGGGTGTTCTTATGTGGGCAGACCTGTGAGAAGGAGTGTTGTATCATGGCTAGCTGAATTTGGACTCATTCAGCCCATTTTAGCATGTGCAAATTCCTGATTGCTCTCTGTCCAGGCTTACACGTGTTTTTGGACCCGTGTTTGCTGACAACGAGTGCCAGCTGCCACAGAGATTACTGTACAATGAAAGGCAAGGCATGCATACACACTCTTCAGCAAATATTCTGAACCTTACCCAAGAATTTGTTTCCATAACTTCTTTTTGACAATTCTTTTCAAAAAGAATTTCTTTTCTATTAAATTTATTGAAGGTGATCAAAATTTTCAGGAGAGAAATTTTGTGTATAACACTACTCTTCTCTTGCGAAATCCAATTAAAAATTAATTCTCTCCTTTTTGAACATGCAACAGTGTACATTCCTGTTGGCTGTTGCTACCTAGTGGCAGTTGGGAGAACTGCAATTCCTCTTTACCTCATCAGTACAGTTTGCCTCAGCTGTACAAAATCTTGAAACTTTGATGGGGCTTTTCTCTGCTTTATTACCCAAAACAGTGGTGCCACTATTACTATAAAACTGGGGGCAGGGATTTATGATGGACAGAAAATCTGACTGCAAAAGCATTGAAGACACAGGGTTAAATGTAACAGGCCGAGTGATGTAGGGGGCAAGTGGTTACTTAGCTAGACTACTGTATTTTTCGCTCCATAAGACGCACCGGACATTAAGACACACTTAATTTTTAAATACTGAAAATTAAAATAAAATAAAAATATATAAACAGAGCAAGTCCCACACTGGGACTGCCAAAAAAAAATCACCAAAAAACAAAACAACATAGAAACATGCCCCCCAGCCCAAATCTACCCTCCAAAACCCACCCAGAACATTTTTTAAAAAGTAAAAAGAAGCAACTAATTTTTAAATACCAAAAAATGAAGTAAAAATAAATAAACAGAGCAAGTCTCATGCTGGGACTGCAAAAAAATCACCAAAACACAAAGCAACATAGAAACATACCCCCAGCCCAAATCTACCCTCCAAAACCCACCCAGAACA